GTATAATTTTAAAATCGTCAGACCATCAAAATAAGGACAATTTTACCTGAATTATTTAATATATCATTCCTGTAGATAGACTGGTGGACACGTAAACAGATTGTTTGGCATGTAGACAGACTGGTGAACATGTCGAATGACTGGTGGACACGTAAACAGACTGGTGGACATAGAGACAGACTAGTGGACACGTAGACATACTGATGAACCTGTAGACAGACTTGTGAACAAATAGATAGACATTTGAACATGTCAAATGACAAGTGGACATATAGACAGACGTGTGGACACATATACAAACTGGTGGACACGTAAACAGACTAATGGATACATAATCAGACACGTGGACATGTAGATAGACTGATGGACACGTAAACAGACCGGTGGATATGTTAGTTTCTAATTAGTTTTAAAAGTCATTTTGGTATTTTCCGCCTCTTGAAATTCAAGTATTTGCGAGAACGCAGTATGATTTTAAAATCGTCAGACCATCAAAAAAAGGACAATTTTTACTGAATTAGTTAATATATTTATACCTATAGTCCTTGCTGTTGAGTGTTGAAAGAGCTACTAGTATCACGATTTTAAATACATCATACATGTAGTCCTTGCTGTTGAATGTTAAATGAGCTTCCCCGAGTTTAAATATATCATTCCTGTAGTCCTTTCTGTTGATTGTTGAATGAGCCGACTCGAGTCTGAATATATCATAGCCGTAGTCCTTTGTTAAATGTTGAATGAGCTGACCCGAGTTTAAATATATCATTCCTGTAGTCCTTTCTGTTGATTGTTGAAAAGCTACCCCGAGTCAAATATATCATACTTATAGTCCTTGCTGTTGAATGTTGAATGAGCTTCCCGGAGTTTGAATATGTCTTTCCTGTAGTCCTTGCTGTTGATTGTTGAAAGAGCTACCCCGAGTCTAAATATATCATACTTATAGTCCTTGCTGTTGAATGTCGAATGAGCTACCCGGAGTTTAAATATATCATTCCTGTAGTCCTTGCTGTTGATTGTTGAAAGAGCTACCCCGAGTCTAAATATATCATACCTATAGTCCTTGCTGTTGAATGTTGAATGAGTTACCCGGAGTTTAAGTATACGATAACCGTAGTCCTTAATGTTGCATAGTAAATGATCTACCCCGAGTTTGAATATATCATACCCGTAGTCCTTGCTGTTGAGTGTTAAAAAAGCTAACCCGATTTTAGATATATCTTACCCGTAGTCAATGCTGTTGAATGTCGAATGTGTTTTCCCGAGTTTAGATATAGCCTAACTGTAGTCCAGGCTTTTAAATGTTGAATGAGGGACCCGAGTTCAAATATACCATATCCGTAGTCCTTGCTGTTGAATGTTAAAAGTGATACCCGAGTTTAAATATACCATACCCGTTATCCTTGTTGTTGAATGTTAAATGATCATAAGCAACCTCGAGTTTAAATATTTAATTCCTGTAGTCCTTATTGTTGAATGTTAAAAGAGCCAACCCGAGTTTGAATATATCATACCCGTATTCCTTGCTGTTGAATGTTGAATGAGCTATCCCGACTTTAAATATATATACCCGTAGTCCTTGCTATTTGATGTTAAAAGAGCTACCCCGAGTTTAAAGAATATAGTGTATTTATTCGTGATTATGAATTAGTGTTTAGCGTTCAGTGGCGAATATTACATTCATATCAGGACGAGAACGTGTTAATGTGATATAAATATAAACCCTACTTTGTACTGCTTTGACACTGAGATCATTATAGCACATGTGTTATAGAAGTCTCAGCTTGACACGTTGATCCTGGCTGTTAACGTGCTAGATCACAAGGAAAGAGTATAAACAGGATGAAATTCCACCATTGCTGGACACGTTGATCCTGATTGTTAACGTGCTAGATCACAAGGAAAGGGTATACACAGGATGAAATTCCATCATTCCTGGACACGTTGATCCTGGTTGTTAACGTGCTAGATCACAAGGAAAGGGTATACACAGGATGAAATTCCATCATTCCTGGACACGTTGATCCTGATTGTTAACGTGCTAGATCACAAGGAAAGAGTATACGCAGGATTAAATTCCACCATTCCTGGACACGTTGATCCTGGTTGTTAACGTGCTAGATTACAAGGAAAGAGTATACGCAGGATTAAATTCAATCATTCCTGGACACGTTGATCCTGATTGTTAACGTGCTAGATTACAAGGAAAGAGTATACGTAGGATAAAATTCCACCATTGCTGGACACATTGATCCTGATTGTTAACGTGCTAGATTACAAGGAAAGAGTATACGTAGGATGAAATTCCATCATTGCTGGACACATTGATCCTGGTTTATAACGTGCTAGATTACAAGGAAAGAGTATACGTAGGATGAAATTCCATCATTGCTTGACACATTGATCCTGGTTGTTAACGTGCTAGATTACAAGGAAAGAGTATACGCAGGATGAAATTCCATCATTGCTGGACACATTGATCCTGGTTGTTAACGTGCTAGATCACAAGGAAATAGTATACGCAGGATGAAATTCCACCATTGCTGGACACATTGATCCTGGTTGTTAACGTGCTAGATCACAAGGAAAGAGTATACGTAGGATGAAATTCAATCATTCCTGGACACATTGATCCTGGTTGTTAACGTGCTAGATCACAAGGAAAGAGTATACGTAGGATGAAATTCAATCATTCCTGGACACGTTGATCCTGGTTGTGAACGTGCAAGATCACAAGGAAAGAGTATACGGAGGATTAAATTCCATCATTCCTGGACACGTTGATCCTGGTTGTTAACGTGCTAGATCACAAGGAAAGAGTATACGTAGGATGAAATTCAATCATTCCTGGACACGTTGATCCTGATTGTTAACGTGCTAGATTACAAGGAAAGAGTATACGTAGGATAAAATTCCACCATTGCTGGACACATTGATCCTGGTTGTTAACGTGCTAGATTACAAGGAAAGAGTATACGTAGGATGAAATTCCATCATTGCTGGACACATTGATCCTGGTTGTTAAGTACAGATGACACAACATAGACAACTAAAGACTAAGCAAAACGAACCCCACCAAAAACTGGGGGTGCTCTCAGGTGCTCCGAGAGGGTAAACAGATCCTGCTCCACATGTGGCACCCGTCGTGTTGTTTATGTTATTACAAATCCGGTAAATAGCCTAATTCGGTAGGTCACCTTCGTGAAACGGGAAGGGTATTGTAGTTACGACATAAGGAACATATCCGATATCATCTGTGAAACGGTTATTCCATAACGGTCAACCAACTCGTGATGGCGTCCGTAAAATTTACGAAGTGATGATTTCAACTTCACCATTTGGAACTCTTGGTTTAATAGCTTACTTGTGAGCAGCAATCCTCTATCAAGGAAATCATCATAGGAAATACAAGCCCGGGAATATCGTATCAATTGGGAGATATATACTCCGTATGCAGGAGCTGCTGGAATGTTGCTACATAGAAATGGAAAGTTTACAATTGGGAAGCTGAAATCATCTCTTAATGTAGAAGCAGCAAAGGCCAATTTTACAGTCTTTTGATTGACCCAACAGTGATCAAGCCCTTGACCTCCCGTATTCCACACGAACGCACCACTCTTGAGACCGCTTCGCCTCATATATGCAATGAAATCATCACTAAATGCACCTGCCAAAACCCAATAGAAACGAATAGAGATTTTATTGCTGTTCTTCATCTCTAGATCACAATGGAGCCTTTTAAAAGTTAATCTAAAGTTTAGTTCTTTTGCTTAGTAACGTATCTGCATAATTCCCTGTTTCCTTATCAACTTCGTCGGAAAACGTTGCTTTTATAAATGATAACTGTCATGCGAGGACATTGCCATTGATAACTGATTTAAATATAAACTGGAAAGCTCTTCACAATTACCAACCAAATTTATTTAGAAAAAAAGTACCAATACATCATAGGATAAAAAGCCAAGTTGTGATCTTTATGGATATGTCGTACAAGAAACAGTTTTTTTTTTTGTCTCGGGTGATGTGTTGTCTAGTATAACTTCTAATCGTAAAATCTAATAAAATGTACCAAGTAGTGATCTTTATGGATATGTCACACTGCGTACAAAAAACTTTTTTTTTCTTGGATACTGTTCCTTTTTTTCCCCCATCTTTTGTGATGAAGTAAAGACTGTAATGTCTAGTTTAACTTCTAGTCGTATAATCCCAAAACTGACCACCATGACATACATGCTTTCATATATGGACCAGGTATTGTCAAAGGAAGATTGGAATTGACTACAGATCGGTAAAGATCTGAATTACATGTATGGCTCTAAAGATATTGTCCCAAAACAACAGATTTCACAAAATTTCAGGCTTTTTTCAAAAGTACTGTGACATTCACCTTTGACATATAGCCCAACAAAGCATCAAGTGTACAGCCGTAGTTAAGATAAACATCTTCCAATTTGCCATTTCCAAGGAATATGGGTGAATAAATCAAAGATGACACTATCTGAAATACTTTTTGGACTTTTGTGTCGATCTGTCATGTCTGAACCTTTTATAACTTACTGTAAAGTATGGGTTTTGCTCATTGTTGAAGGCCTTATAGTGACCTATAGCTAATTTAAACATATTTCAAGAGCGGATCCAGGAATCGAGGCAAGGGAATGGGGGAGTAATTGCCCGAAATTGTAGAAATAGAGCTAAGCCAAAGGGAGGCATATTTTATTTTTGACTTAATGCCAAAACATTTATTTTCCCAATCAAAGGGGGCGTACAGGTCCCCCTCTTGAGTCCAGCACTGTATTTTATTCAGAAAATAATTAAAATGGATTGGATAGCAGGTTAAAGCTCATATACATGCTCTCAAATTGACCTACAGTTTTCTTTTATCCATGTCATTTGGTCTCTGTTGGATAATTGTCTTTTTGGCAATCATACAATACCTTCTTTTTTACTGATATTAAATTTATGGAGGAAGCAAATAAAAACATACTTATAACACTAATACATAATTTCATTCTAATGATCTTTTATTAATAATCATATCAACAAAAATTTTTATATTACAATATAAACAATATATCATTCAAAACAAAGCAAAATAGTAACAATCAGTATATATTTTCACTGAAAGTTCTAAATTCATACATAATCATTACATAAAACTTTCAGAATCCATTGATCACAATAGTTGTAAATTGATTGTGTGATTACTGTACTAGGAATTCATCTATAAGCTCCAGAGCCTGAGTTGCTCACATGACAACTCTTAACTTTATATGGTCTACATATGTACCTAAACTAATCTTATAGAGACCCTAAGTTTTTTAAGGGTTATAACCCCATAGTTATTGGGTAATACTTGATAGTACAGAGTAAGGTCCTAAAATTAAAAACATTGGTGTCCAAATGAAATTAAAGAAACATTTTAATGAATATATCAATGTTAAGGTATAAGGAGTTTCTCAAAAAATATTAAAAGCTATGATTTTGAAAACTAATTTCCTACAGGGGCGATTCTCATAATAGTTGTACCTGTCATAATGAAAATAATTTCCTACAGAGGAATCTCTCTGAAATATTAAAACCTGCTACTGTAAATTCAGAAATTATTGCGTGCATTTATTATTGCGATTTTGTCATTTTTGACTAAAATGCGATTTTAATTTTTGCGATATTGAGAAAAATCCTGTTTAATTCGTATAAAAAATTTCAAAATGCGAGTTTAAATTATTGCGATTATAACCCTGTCGCATTTTTCGCAATAATAAAAACATCGCAATAATTTCTGAATTTACAGTACTTTAAAATAATGTGCTACAGAGGAGATTAAAAAAGCTGCCACTTTAAAATAGTGTGCTACAGAGGAGATTACTCCAAAAATGGATAAGGTTGCCATGTAGAAATACGTATATGGGAACTACTACAAAATGCCAATTTAAAATTTTTTCTCCCTAACTAGACATAAGAAAACTGTTCTGTATATTAAAAAAAATAAAAATAATTCAAATTCTGTAGTTACATAACTCCAAAAGAGTTAAGACAGACATCTTAATATATGACAACACAAGTAAGTCATATTTAGTCAATGCATTGTGCCTCGAGTCTAAAATCAATTTTTTTATATCATTCTTTAAAAAGTTAAAAAGCAGAAAAGAGACAATGGACCCAGAGTGATGACACAATCTAATATTGCTTTTAAACTTAGGCCAAGTGAGATTAAAAAAAATATGTATTTGTACTTTGATAAGGATTTATAACAAAACAAGTAAAACATTCTGTCACTGTCACAATTGAATAAGACTTAAAATTTAAAATAATTATATTTTCTTAGGGTTGAATGGTTATTTAATATCTTTAAATTAGTTTTTGAAAATTGTCCTGCAAATATAAGACACAAATGATATAAAAAATATATGATTTACAACATGTTGAACACAGGGAGAACAAATTAAAGAAGACACAAAAATATGTAAAATATGTCTTTAAAATACACATCTTTAAAAACACAGATAGTAATTATAGCATTGACAAATGAACAACTTTGAAATCATATTAAAAATTCAATAACCATTTCATTTTAAATATTTGCAAATAAAAAAAAATTTAGTTTAACAAATTGAATTGATATTTCCTGTATGGCAGAATATCTAAATTATAAAGTCTGTAAATGAATATTATGTAATCAATGTACAGTAAAAAAACCAACAGGAATCAATGTACTAAAAAGAAACAAATCATAAAATGACATTATAAAAAAATACCTACTACATTTAGCATTTAGACAGTAATCCAACAACACAACAGATGAAATATCAATAATAACATAACAATAAACATAATATGGTATATTTGTGTTCATGGTAAAGTAGTCATACATTCAGTACAATATGGAATGTTAAGCTTAAAAATCAAATATTAAAGACAAAACTGATGACCTGATTTATCAAGCAGAAAGAAGTAATCGAAAACAACTAAGTAATGATAGAATTACAATGTTTACTAAGTGTGGTACAGTTTTATTTATTGGCATCAACATAATGATTCTACTGCATTTAAATCTTAAATGTTTCTTCTATTCCTGGTCATAAAATTTAGAAATATTCGTGTAATATGAAGCTAAATTAGAAACGAAGAGAAAGTAATGGAATGAATAGCAGTAGATATTAAACATATTAAACAAACACCAATAAACAAGAAAATAAAGTAGATGTTTTTTTTCTCATCTGCTGCATGATAGTTACATGTCATAACAAACCACTGACTAAAGAATAAAGAGTTTAAAAGAAAACATTGCAGGTTTTTTTTACATGTCATAAAGAACCACTGACAAAAGAACAAGAGTTAAGAAGAAAGTTTGTCCTTCTTCATGTGTTCTGTTAACATCATTACTATAGATGTATGTCCATTATCTGTTGCAATGCTTAAAGGGGATTCCCCATCAAGTCTACATATCTGTGTATCTGCTCCTTTATCTAACAATAAACGTACAATATCCTCGTGTCCTACTTCACATGCAAAAAATAATGGTGTGGTGCCATCTTCTTTTGTCATGTTGAAGTCAGCATTGTGGTCCAAAAGACGACGGACTACATCTATCCTACCCATGAAACAGGCTATGTGTAATACAGAAGCACCAGCTTCTACATCAAATACATAATCTGTTGACTTCTTACTGACAAAATCTGCTACACGTGGTAATGCATTCTTGATGAGACTATCAAACCAATCCTGTTTATATGTATCTAATGTTTTTGTTGGATCATTTTTTATTGTATGTATTATAGACTGTTTACTAGGGCCATATATATTACAGTCAGCATTGTTCTCTAGCAGAAACTGTGTTATATCTAGGTTTCCACTGTAAACACTGAAATATAAAGCACTACCACCATCAAAGGTCTGTGCATCAATGTTTGGGCTATATTTAACTAATAGATGTACTACACTGATATAGTTATGGATACAAGCCCTAATCAGTGGTGTAAAGCCATTATTGTCACATAGATCAACATAAGAATTATTTTCTAAAAGTAGCTGTGCTATATCAGAATGTCCATTCTTACTTGCCATGTACAGAGGACTACAGCCATCACTGTCGCATAGATCAACGTAGGAATTCTTCTCCAACAGTAACCTTACTATATCAATATGTCCATTCCGACTTGACCAGTAAAGAGGACTCCCGCTATCCTTGTCACATAGATTAACATTAGGATTGTTCGCTAACAGTAACCTTACTATATCTGTATGTCCATTCTGACTTGCTATGTACAGAGGACTCCAGCCATTATTGTCACTTAGATCAACATAAGAATTATTTTCTAAAAGTAGCTTTGCTATATCAGAATGTCCTTTCTGACTTGCCTTGTACAGAGGACTACAGCCATCATTGTCACATAGATCAACATTTGGATTTTTCTCTAACAGTAACTTTACTATATCAGTATGTCTATCCCGACTTGCCATGTACAGAGGACTCCAGCCATCATAGTCACATAGATCAACATTGGGATCCTTCTCTAACAGTAACTTTACTATATCAGTATGTCCATTCTGACTTGCCTGTAACAGAGGACTACAGCCTTCATTGTCACATAGATCAACATTGGGATCCTTCTCTAACAGTAACTTTACTATATCAGTATGTCCTTCCTGACTTGCGATGTACAGAGGACTCCAGCCATTCTTGTCACATAGATCAACATTGGGATTCCTCTCTAACAGTAACTTTACTATATCAGTATGTCCATTCTGACTTGCCTGTAACAGAGGACTACAGCCATTCTTGTCACATAGATCAACATTGGGATTCCTCTCTAACAGTAACTTTACTATATCAGTATGTCCATTCTGACTTGCCAGTAACAGAGGACTACAGCCATTCTTGTCACATAGATCAACATTGGGATTCCTCTCTAACAGTAACTTTACTATATCAGTATGTCCATTCTGACTTGCCATGTACAGAGGACTCCAGCCATCCTTGTCACATAGATCAACATTGGGATTCCTCTCTAACAGTAACTTTACTATATCAGTATGTCCATTCCAACTTGCCATTAACAGTCCAGTAACCCCATCATCTCTACATTGATCAACATCCACATCATTATGTAACATCCACTGTAACATATCAGTATAACCAGTATAACAAGTATGTATCAGTGGAGTATTACCTGATCCACACTCCTCCTTTGGTATCACTATATCCTTGGTACTGGCTAATGTTACTTGTTCTGTTTTATCCAGTTGTTTTAAGTGCTGTAATAACTGTTGTCTAAATGATGATACTGTCAAATTGTTGTTCATGAATATAACTCTCACCTTTCCTGCTGACCAGTCCTTTATAAACCTTTCTAAATATGATTCTAAATAATCATCTGGTATTTCTATAATGAAGTCTATGTTACCTTTCTGTTCATCTGGTGACTTCTGCCAAATAAAACGTTCATATACTAAATCACTATCACCATGATCTATTAAACATTCAATCATTTTCTGGCCAAAGTAATGAGCAAGGAAGTCAAATAGTTTATCATGTACAGTTCTATAAACACCATCCTTTTTACATATGAATGTACCATCTAGGGTGTCAAGGGCATGTTGCAGTTTTGCCTTGGATATTCGTCTGTCCAATCCACAAGCATTATATGTGTCTTTTATGACCAGTTTTTGCCTCTTTGTTACTTTACCCAGGAACCATTTTTCTTCTAGGTGATTATTTAAGAGAACGCATAAAGCAAGACTACATATTCTATATTTCCCTTCATCACCGTGCTCATTTAACTTGTCTAGCTCATTTTTATAGACAGCAAAAGGATTTTTGAAAAATTCTTTTACATCTACATCTTTTTTTTCATGATATAAACTACACAACAGTGGAAAAAAATGACAGTTTTGTGATAAATCATCAATATCTTTCATGCTTGTACCAATATAGGTTTTTGCTATGTTTGTTTTCTCAACAGACGTAAGACCTAACTTATCTGATATTAAGTTACATTCACAAGATTTAAAAGGTAATAATATATTAAACTTTTCATCTTTATAGACTTGTAATCTACACGATACAATAATCTTACAACATTTGTCTGCAATAATTGTTTTAATCACAGGTAACAATTGTTTCCAGGTATCAATCTGTTGTTGGTTAGCAGTGAAATTTCCACAAATATCATCGACAATGAAGACTGTCTTTTTACCAGGCTGATAATAATCTTCGATATGATCTGGTTTTCTCACTGGTATTATTTTGAATCCTTCCTTCTTTAAAAGAAGTGCTGTGTGTCTTGCAATAAATGATTTCCCAACTCCTGATGGGGCAGTTAGAGTCAAACAACTGTTGTCCTGTAAACATTCTATGACGTAATCACTGGCTCTGGTAGATACAAACATCTCATCTTTCTTTTCCCAGTCTTCTATTTGTGATTGTATCTGATCTGAAACAATATATGAGTAGAAAATTGAAAATAAAAAATCGACTATTTATATGAATTATGCATTATCACTTAAGGTAACACACTACCGAATGGCATATCTCCCGATTTCTACAATTTTAAGCACACCATTTTTGTTTTTTGGTTATTTCAATAAGAAAACGTCAATTTTGGCGACAAATTTACTTAGATATATAAGGAAAATGCCTTTTTTCAACTTTTGCTTTTAGATTTTTCAATGGATGGCTATGTTCTTATATACAGAGAAAGACTAAAAACTAACATAAAATCCAGGATTGTATACTGAATCCATGCATGCACAGAAAAACATATGTCACCATCCTTGTTTTTTAGATACAATGCTTCAAAGTTGACAAATACGCTTAAAATTTGACAGAAAACGTGTGACATTACTGAATACAGAAAAACGTTATTTTTAGTTAGAGGTATTGAAAAAAATATGTAACGGGACCTGAATAGCGTTTGTTATTCTATTTTCATACTCCTTGTCGTTAATTTCCTAATAATTCAACATGTTCAATATGACATTTGACTGACTTAATTTTATTTCGTCAAAACTGGGTGCACTTTTAGCTTTTAAAAACTGAATCTTCAACTAAACCCTACCAAACTAAGACAATGGTGATGTCACCGATGTATCCATGAATGAATAAAGTAAAGTGCTTCAAAAAAAATGATTTTGAAAACATTGATGTTTAATTACAATTTGAATTGATTGAATGATGGTTGCTTAACATCCAGTGGCAAATATTTCATGCATTTTCAGGACGATACAATACAATTTGAAATAGTTGTGTCTTAAAGATAATTTGATGCAGCCGTTAATAAAGGTTAAACAATTTGTTAGTTAGGAAAATTATATAGAAAAATCAACATCCTGATGAAATACACATTCTAAATCAATGTAAATATAGTATACTCTGTATGATGTAAACGTGTGGGTTGTGTGTGTAGTTAGTCGGACAAACCGTGCAAACTGTATGCAAAATTAAATAGACAAAATTTAAGATTCTTTGATTCGTGGAAAATTATTTAAAAAAAAAATTATCCTGAGAATATATATGCACCCTCAATATAGGTAACAAAAACCTTAGCGCAATATATTATCAAAATACCACATTCAGCAACCTGTCACAAAAAAAATCTGACAAGATGTGCATCTTTAGTATATGTACTAACACAACTACATAGTTTGAAAGTTTAAGCTTAAAATCTGTAGTCCTATGAAATCAGCCGTATTAACCCAGTTACCCTATAGGCCAAGTGAGGGACAGACTGTCGAACGGAAACGAGTAAAACAATATGCTCCCAGCATTATGCCAAGGGAGCAAAATATATATCAGCATTCATGTACATGATGATGTTCTATTTTATAAATCATTTGGTGACAAAATGTCTTTTTGAATAAGCATTTCATAGCGGAATGCTAATTGGGAGATCTCAAATGTAGCAACGAAGGCAAGCGAACGTCTACGTCATTTGGTCTTTGGTGGAAAGTTGTTTCATTGGCAATCATACAAAATCTCCTTATTTCGTAATGGATTTTCTTTATAAATACAAGAAGTTTAAAGACTAACTAATATGTACTAGGAGACTGAAATATGTTGCCGTTGTAGTTAAAATCTGACTTTTGTTGTGAACATGTGATGCTATAATTTGATAGATTTATTACTTGCCATACTAAATATACTTATTAACTTTCCAATGCAAAAGACCAACGAATCTTTACTATAACTACAAATTAGAAGTAAAAAAATACTTGTCCATCCTGCATTAGTCATGTGTTAACTAGATGTCTTTGGTTGTGTGTGTCTTTAATTGACCAGTTGCTGTTTCATTGTATATCCCACATTTCCACCCTTGTAATTTACATAAACACTTGTATACTTGTTGTAATAAAATGCTCCAAAATGGGGCAAGTATGGACACAACATTCAAGCTTGATACAGCACTGAATTTGGATTGTAATTAAATATTTGACACAGCATAGGTTTCTGACACAGAATGAAAGTGGTCTAAGAACTTAAAAATTTTTAATTTACCTATTCAAACCATATCATTATTATTTGCTTTTATATATAAATCAGAAATAACCAATTTAAAATGGAAAATTTTAAAGAAAAAAAAGGAAAAAAAAATCCCCCCCCCCCCAATTTTTTGAACCCCCTTATGATTCATCACCCCCAAACTCAATCCCAGCTTTCCCTTTGTGGTATTGTACCTTGCAGTACAATTTCAGAGAGATCCATACATTTGAACACAAGTTATTGTCTGGAAACTAGACAAATGCTTGTTTTTTGGCCCCATTTTGGCCCCAAATTCCTAAATGTTTAAGGCAATTACCCCCAAACTCAAACCAAGCTTTCCCTTTGTAATATGGAACCTTGCAGTACAATTTCATAAAGATCCATACACTTACACACAAGTTATTGTCCTGAAACTAGAAAAATGCTTGTTTTTTTACCCTTTTATGGCCCCTAATTACTAAAATTTTGAGGGAATTACCCCCAAAATCAATCCCAGCCTTCCCTTTGTGGTATGATACCTTGCAGTACAATTTCAGAGAGATCCATACATTTGAACACAAGTTATTGTCTGGAAACTAGAAAAATGCTTATTTTTGGCCCCTTATTCCTAAACTTTTTGGGCAATTACCCCCAAACTCAATTCCAGCTTTCCCTTTGTGATATGGAACCTTGTAGTACAATTTCATAAAGATCCATACACTTACACACAAGTAATTGTCAAGAAACTAGAAAATGCTTGTTTTTTGCCCCTTTTATGGCCCCTAATTCCTACAATTTCGAGGCAATTACCCCCAAAATCAATCCCAGCATTCCCTTTGTGATATGGAACCTTGTGATACAATGTCAGAGAGATCCATACACTTACACACAAGTTATTGTCATGGCCCCTAATTCCTAAAATTTTGAGGCAATTACCCCAAGTTATGTCTGGAAGTTACAAAAATGCTTATTTTTGGCCCATTTTTGGCCCCCTATTCCTTAACTGTTGGTACCATAACCTCCAAATTCAATCCTGACCTTCCTTTTGTGGTATTGAACCTTATGGTAAAAATTTCATTGAGATCCATTCACTTAAAGTAAAGTTAGAGGGCGAAAACTAATGTGTCTTCGGACGACGACGACAGAGACGACGACGCCAACGTCATACCAATATACGACCACAAAAATTTTTTTACGGTCGTATAAAAACTCCTATAAGACTGAGAATTATGATCATATGTTTCTGAAATGTCACTTTCTTGATGACTTCTTAAGTAAAATAAAAAATCTTCTTGAAAAACTGAATATTGATAATAATATTCTAACATTGAAGAATTTAGTATTCGGTTAAAAAATTAATGATGAACAATATTATGAAATCAATTATTTGATTACATTAATAATGTTTTGTATATATAAAGCTAATTACATGTCTGAACAGAAAACAGAATCTATAAATGTGTATGCTGTATTTAAAGCAGAATTTATGTATAGTTACAAACTGCAGGCAAAATGTAAGAATACAAGATATAAATATATTCTAGATAAAACTGCCAAATTGTTAAAATAATTTCTTTGTTTGAGAAGTATATGATCTAGCAAAAATAAATGGATGAATAAATTAATAAAAGAGATAAATTTTACAAATTACACATCTGGAACTGATCAAGTAATATAAATTTTACCTTTCACCGCTACTGTACATGTACATGTGATGATTGATAACGAGACTATTTACCGTTACAAAAAGAAGATTAAAAAATGAAATATTTATTTAATCTTAATCTTCTTTATACTACAGAAAATTTTTAATTCAGACATACCTGTGAATATGCTATATCACATCTGTTTTTTTTTTATTTTTTAAGTCATGGCCGGTGTGACAATATTTGTTTCAAAACCAGGAAGATGTTTGATAGAAAAACAATTCACCCGTTTACGGAGGAAATATGAAAAATTTCCGGAAACAATACCCAAAAAACAATTATTGCTAGATGATATATATAGTAAATTGTTAAACAAACAAGTCCCATTGATATATACTTGTTAATTTCATTGCTGATAATTTTATAAATTAGCTGTTAAATTAAAACTAATGTTAATTTAATATAATGATGCTTACCAGAAACAACCCTGGATTTCTGGTATTAACAAACAGGGACTCTTTACTGGAATGCTGGACTAGTGAAGTACATTGTTAACAGCAAAAAGTGCAATTAGTTGTTGTTGAATAAAAAAAAAAAAGAGAATACTCTCAGGCTTTTCCCGACAATTATGTGAGCAATATGCCCATCCCCCAAAAGGCACCTTTGCTTATCGTCTGTGAGTCGTTTTACCTCCCTACTGTGTGAAAAGGTGCGTTTTTATCAGCTGTACCTATATCATGTCCAACACAAAACACCAAAACCCGACCCATCCCCGAAGACCAAAGTGCAAACTAATATGAATCTAAAATCGAAATGATTTGAGGATCTTGTTGGATTTTTGTGCCCCGCGTGACGTGTTATGGGGGACAAAAAAAAACAGGGCATCCGTCCTTCCTTTTGTCTGGCCGGTCTTGTTAGCTCTCTCACGTGTACAGTTCTTGCCATATGTTTATAAAACTTTTAGGTTTATATGAGCATTGTTGCTGACACGTTTGAAAATCAGAGGCGATCAAATATTTTTAAAAGAGTTATGCCCCTTGGAAATATCAATTATATATATATATGTATCGGAAATTGCATTGCATTTGCTCTCAAGCCTGGATTTCTCTATTATCAATAATTATCAAATAAAAATCAAATAACAAACAATTTTTATTTTAAGTTATAATAACCATTGCCAGATACAATATGTACAACGCGAGAGGGGTCATTGGAAGTCTGTTTTTTTTTTAATCAGTTTGATTTTGCCGTTGGAATAAAATATGTTAATGAAAATATCTTTTTATAACTTTTTTTCACTCAAAGCGCTTATCAGGATTTACCTTCATTG